TGTGCTGCTGTTGCTGTTGACGTCTCAATTGTCTCATTTGTCTTCTGGACTGCGTTTGGACAGTCGTGTCACTGGAAGACGTGTCTGTCGGTGGCGAAGGTGTGAGTGTTTGGTCAGAATGAGGCGATCTTTGATCGATGGGCGGCAGTGAAGGTCCGAAGACACTCATACTCGGGTGCTCTATAAGCAGGTTCTCCAGTGGTGTGGTCTCAATGATAACTGGGTTGGAGAGGCTGTTGAAACAGGGAGGGGGTGTCACGAACCAGCTCTCCTCCATTCCTGGCGGGCCTGCGAGGGACGGACTGTCGGCAGCGTCGGTGCCCTCGCAGACGGAGCTCTTGTCAATGGATTGTTGGGGTTGTTGTGCGTCCGAAATGTCCGAAGTTTGAGGCACTCTGTCAGTCGTTGTCTCATAATTGGCAGCAAATATTTGCAACTCATGTCCGTTGCCATCGTTTGCGTCGATGGACTCATTGAATGCATTGATTGGCTTCTTGTAGTGGTTATCGTCGAAGGGGTCGATTAGGATCCAGTCGTCGTCGACGTCCCTTTCGGTACAATGGTTTACATCTATGTTCTCGTTGTTAACGTTGGACTCGTTATCACCTCCGAAGACATAGTTTGCAAATCTAAACATTATATCCTTTCGTACGAAATATGATTAATTGGATTTGATTTTCAATGAATCGTTTGACGGCTTGTTGTGGCAAATGAGTGGCCAATGAATGCAATCAATGTATGTATCAGTGAATGTATGGTTTGCTTATTATTATAGACTTATTATTATTGTCTCAATGATTGCGATTGCATTTAACCTAAAAATGATTGCATTATACGTTTATTATATGATTAATAAGTGTTTGAATACATGAATGACTAAATGATTTGACAAATACTGCGTACAAAGCAATGAGTGTTGTATTGAGTATAATGTATGGAAATAATTAAAAAACTTACGTTTAAATTGAATTAAAACTAATCAGTGGTACAAACAATTAAGTATTTTGTTGACCTTCACTATACAAATCAGCTGTACTTAAGGCAAAGCTGCAGCAAATGTCAAACAGGTTTACGTCGAGTGTATAGAAGAGCTCAGTTGTCATCTACTGTAGTAGTGGTGCACATACTCCGAGCCCTACCAGCCCTACCAGTCCTGTCAGCCCCGTAAGCCCAGCCCA